CTTTTCATCTCCATCGCTAGATTGTTTGATTAGATGATCTTGAACACCTTGACCTCTACACCACAACTCGATAGATGAAGCCCAAGCTAAGTAGTTTGAACTTCCCATTAAAGGTTCTGAGGTAATAATAGCACTAGAGCTTCCAGAACTCAAGTTTCTAGACCCAAAAGCATCAAATCCCAAAGACATTGTTGCAAATTATTACCAAATAAGAGAAAGAATCAACTGTATCCACTGAAACAGAGTACGGAAACACAGAAACAGAATACTGAAAATCTGTAGCTGTCGGAATCTACTGTAGCTGTTGGAATAGTACTGTAGCTGCCGGAAAAAACTCAAAGTGGTCGGAATGAAATGAAAACAGTAGGGGTAGGATCGGAATTACCAGGCGACCCAACTGTTCTGAAGGAAGATTTTCAAAAAATGGCCGGAAATGGTCGTACGCGCCGGCGCGGGAGCTCACGCGCGTGAGCTTCTGGTGGCGCGTGAGGAGGCTGTTGTCGGAGCTTTTCACTGGGGTTTGGTCGCCGGACAGTGACGACTCTTGTGGTAGTGTTGGATTTTGCACAACACTGACGGAGATGAAGCAGATAGAAAACAGCCTTAAAAAAGTACTGATTTCTCTTTCCCGGAATCGCTGGAATTTATGCACAGCGATAAGTCTCTCACAATTGCTCTGATACCATGCGAGAAAGCACGGGAGAAAATATGTTATTGATATTGGATGATTCAATACAATACAAGAGGTCCTTATTTATAGCTATACTATACAAGGACATATTACTCCTCTACCAATGTGGGACAATACTACACTATATACATAGTTGTAAACTAAAAGTACAATAACAACCTATTGATCCTACCGCTATTTCTAACTATACGAGTTTTTCTCTTTGGTTGTTTATTTACATCCTGTTCTGTTATAAATTGTGAGAACAATTGATTCATAAACAAGTATGAATAACAATATACCATAAGGATAACATATGTAATTTTATTGCTTTTGTTTCCACTCGCGAAAATGTGTTGCGTATGATATGTGTGGATTTAGCAAAATGGATTTATGGGCTATCTCTTTCGAGCTACGTTCATCACATGTGGACTCAATTTTCATATGTTAAGCTAATCTGAACTAACTTCTAGCTGTCATTGAAGTCTCCTTACATAGTAGTCAAACCATAGATATTTCTAACTTATTCCATATTGGGTCCCAATTCTTAAGAAAAAATGTTGAGATGTCAATCTTGTTAGGCTAGAGGGGGCACTTCTTGCTTTTTTTTCTTTTTCTTCTTCCTTAAAAGATTTACTTTCTTGTGAAACTTCTGTATCTGCACTGTTTCTTCCAATCTTCACGGGAGGGTAGGTGTTATGACCAGTGCATGAAACTGCCCTAAGGCGGAGGCGGCACAGATTTGGTGGCCGGGCATCCCAATCGCTAAGACGTACGCCCAGTGTTGTCAAAGGCTCATTTAAGGCGCGCTTAAGCCCTGAAGCTCAGAAAAGCTCAGGGAGGGCGCTTCGCCTCGCTTAAGCTGCGCTTCAGTGTAAGGCAAAGCACTAAGACATGCGCCTCATTGCCCATGAGTTTTATTGGGAATCAAGAGGCACTAAACAACAAATATAATCAGAAAATAATGTATTAGCGGTAAAGAAAAACATTATAAATGAATTTATTACTTTGTCCTTGAATTACATATATATTTTATTTTTTCCCATAGTTGCGCCTTTTTTTTACTAAAGCCAATACTTTAAGTGCACTTTGCGCTTAAATCCCTAATAGACCTAAAGTGCTTTTAGAGTTTTTCGCTTTTGATAACATTGCGTATGCCCAGGCGTGTATTACTCCTCCCTGACAGGGCGCACACAGAAAACTCAAGCAAATGTAGGGCAAAATCCTAAAGAAGAAGAAGAGAACATTAGGGTTTATTTATTTACCACAAACATGCAAATACAACTATTTCACTAACTTGGAAAGTATCAGTCGTGTAAATAAAATATTTTCGTATTGCTTCAATTTCATTCGCTGAGAACAAAGGGCTCCAGGGATGGAAGAAGAATATAGGTCTAATCCCTTCCAAATACACTATTGAAGAAAATTGTATTTGGGTTTCGAATGTTGGTAATTTGGGGAAGAAGATGAACTCTCAAAACCATGAGAAGGACATGGGGAGAAATTTTGAGAGAAATTGTAGGGGGAGAGAATTTGCGAAAAAGATGATTGTGATTCAAAAACCATATGTTGACCTTTTTTTCCAACTGTGAAAATGGGCTGACGAAGAAAGCAATGACACTCTCCCACTGCCCTAAAACATCATGTCATCTTGCAATTCACCATATGTGCCAGCCGTGGAATCAACCACTGATACTTACATCAGAGTAGGCTGCTTATATCACACCCCCTAGGGTGCAGCCCTTCCCTGAACTCTGTGAATGCGGGATGCTTCGTGCACCGGGCTGTTCTCTTTTGTCCTTTTCAAGTTCTTAAATGATTTACATGTTCTTTTAGTTATTTCGCAAAGAAAGTTTTCTTAGAAAAGTTTCTTTCTACTTTATTGACTGGTCTATTAAAAGTTATAGCCTCTACTTTATTGTGCATGTTTATAGATTATACTAAAATCTCCTGCCTTTTTGATAAATTTTGATTTCTAAAAAATATTTGTATGTTTTTCGTATTTTAAAAATATTTATGTGCTATTGAATTATACAATAATAAGATCCATGGGGCTTACGCCTCGCCCCGTACTTGATAAAATGTTTCGCCTTGCGCCCTCTCCTTTTAAAACACTTGTTATCACCCTCCCCATAGTCGACACATCTTTTATTTGGAAAAGGTAAGAAAAGATGATTTTCAGCTGCTGGTGAATGCCATCTGATAGCTGTATTGCTTATCTTTCTTCTGTTAGGTTATCTTGCTATGATAATCAATGTTCTTTGGTTCTTTTCTGCATGTTTCTATTGTTAGCTTGACGGAGATCCAGAATGCACGTGGTATTATGGATGTCCTTACTGAAATGCTGAATGCATTAGGTCCTGAAAACAAAGAGGTAAAATCCATATGCATAGTATGTCTCAAGGGATATGCTCCCTTGCTAGTTTATTGAAGTTTTGAGACTAAAGATTTTGATTCAATAATTGAGATGTTCAGAGCTAGATGCGAATTGGAGCAGACAAAAACTGAAAGAAGGGAATATTCACCTCTAAGATATTTTCATTCCTGTTCAGTTAATTCTTTATGAGTTTTGTCCTCTTTATATTTGATGCAACATATTTGCATGTGGGGTTACAGGAACTCAGACAAGAGGTCATTGTTGATTTGGTGGAACAATGCCGTACCTACAAGCAGAGATTGGTACACCTTGTAAACTCGACTACGTAAGGCCTTGTTTTACTTGTCTGATTCTTGTGATTTTTTCTGGATATTGTGATATGCTTCTTTTTTCTTAAATTAACCTTAATTCTTATAATTAGAGAATATTTCTCTCTCTAATGAAAGGGTCAGTGTAAATATTCATTTGAAGCTTCTGACATGTATAACCTGGGTTTGTTCTTGCTAGGAATAAAATTTGATGGCCGAACATTCATCTCCCATCTATTGTTTATATATTCATATTCATATACTATATTATAAGTACGAAGGCCAAATTTAAAGTTGAATTACTAAATTATCCATCAAAAACAGAAAGACATTTTTACCACACTTTTAATTTCTTGTAATATTTTTGTATTACCAAATAGTAAATTCAACTACCAATAAAAGTAAAAGTACTTTCATTTCCCATTAGTTATTGCAAAGGTACAAATTATATCTAATCATTGTCATTTAATTGTCAGTTTTTTATTTTTTTGCAAGAAGTGTTTGTTTGAGTTTTTTCAAAATGAAAAGTCAAGTGTAGTTGAAAAGTCGAAACAAATTGAGAGGAACATCTCTGCGGAAACAGAAATGCGGAAACATCATATCTCTAGACACTAAAAAGAAAATTTTGACCAAAAATTATTTTTTTCCTTTAAATTTACATCCAACATGCAATATTTGGACCTGGAAGATAAATTACTAAGCCCTTATTATATGGGACTGGTTGCTTTTTATTCTTTAGGGGAACTCTAGTTAATTGTTTGTTTTTGCTTTGTTTTTTGATTCATCAATTATATGGATATTCTTTTATAGTTAAATCCAGATGGTAAACTCTTACTAAAAGTTTTTAACCAATTTTTACTTTTTGCCTTTTATTACTGCCTTAATAAGAATATATATTTTATAATAGACTCGTGTATCATTGTCACATAGTTATTTTTTTATTTTCCTATAAATCTGCGAGTCAATTTGATGGAAAGGTGGCATTTATGTTTTTTTAGTGAAATTCGGTAATATGTGGATAATTCAATAAGGTATTTCAGGACTTTTGTGTGGTACAGTTTCTTCCTTTATTGAGTTAGTTAAATTAAATTTGACATTCATTTTTAAGAGTTGAATTTTTGTAACTCAAATACATGATTTTATGCTTCCTCTGTACCAATCTATGTGGTGTTTTTTTTAGTCTGTTTCAAAAAGAATGACATAATTCTTATATTTAACAATTCAACTTTAATGAGATAATTTATAGACACAAATGTCTCTGGATTGTATTATATCATAATTTTCAATTTTTTTTCTCTTAAATTTGTGTTCAGTCAAATAAAGCTACGTAAAATGAGACGAAAGTTGTAGTATTTATGTAATTCTTTAAAAAATTATACTTATTGATGGGGGTACACGTGCAACGTGCGTGCCCACGAACTAGTATATACTATAAAGTTCAAGTAATTTGAGTTAACTTTTTTTCAGAGATGGGTTTTTCATTAACTTCTTGGAACTTGCTGAAACTGGCCATGTTTACTGTTACTATTGAACTTAAAACAATTTTGAACTTAAGATGAACATTTTGTCTGTTCTCTCTGTTCTCCCATCTTTTTTACGCGCCACAGGTGTGGTTCCTGTGAATCCTTACATTTACCTGATCCAGGGATGAGTCACTGCTATGCCAAGGACTATCGCTGAATGATGACTTACAGCGTGTATTGGCCAAGCATGAAGCTATTGCATCAGGAACTTCTATTAAAGGCGAATCATCAAAACCTGAAGCTGCTCGATCCCTTGTAGATATTGATGCTCCTCTTATTGATACTGGAACCAGCAACCAGTCAGACCAAGGGTAACTTAGTTTTGTTATTTTTTTTGCCAATCAATGTACTCCTGTTGAGTGTTTCACTTCTTATTACAATTGACTTTTGAATTAGTGGTTTGGTTCTCAAGGACTGAGATATGGATATCAGTTTGTCATGCCACGGAACTAGCACTATAATTCCGAGTCACCTATCCAGTATGTGAGTGAGCCCGCCCTACGGATCCCCTTTGTTCAATGGGGGAGGTCAGACATGAATTGTGTAGATAGTTATCAGATATTTGTCTAGAACAAATTTGACCTTCAAGTGTATTGTCAATTAAATTCAGATTTTAACAAAGTTCTGTAGTTGAACATATTTGCTGTTGTAAGAAATATTAACTGAAACCCACCCACCCCTCCCCCCACCAAACCCAAAGGAATAAGAACTGACGGGTATTGATTTAAGTTTCAGAGTGTTAACAGGTCAGGTCGGAAGAAATGTTTTTTTTTATCTAAGGCATGTATGTTGTGCTTTCCAGATCTACATCAATTGCTAGTTTAGGGACACAGTTGCTTCTTCCTGCTCCTACATCAGCAAATGGTCCATCAGCAACTCCAACAAAAGTTGACCCTAAGATGGATCTTCTGAGCGGAGACTTTGGCTCACCAACAGCTGAGAATGCTCTTGCGCTTGTTCCTGTTGGAGAACCTCAACCAGCAAATCCTTCGCAGCAGAATGCCCTTGCTATTCTCGACATGTTTTCGCAGCCAAGCACCACCCCCTCTACTTATTCAGTTGGTCAGGCAAATCCTTCATCCCCTCAATTTCAGCAACAACAGAATTTTCATTCTGTGCAACCATCTTTGTACCCAAATGGAAGTGTCCCTGGTATGACCTACGCCCAAGGCTCCAATCCTGCCTGGAATGGGCAGATGTCACAGCAACAACAGCCAGCTTCTCCAGGTTATGGTGATTCCTTTGTTATCCTGCGTGCTTTCCACTTGAATACAGTATTGAGGACCTGATAAAAATACAAAAGAAATATTATGGAAACATGCCCGTTTTGTACCTTGGCAAACCTGCCTGTTGGCTGGATAATCTACATGATGGATTAATCGAGGTGCATGCAAGCTGGCCCAATATGACTGATATAAAAAAAAGGCCTGTTGTGTTAAACCATAATTTGAATTCTGTCCTTTTGCACTTTTGTGTGCCTAATCTATTGCCTAAAAAACGACCTTTTAGATAGATGTCATATTAGGGAAGAGTTCAATATATATCCTTATCCATTGCCTAATGCTTAAAGCCCCTTTTACCTATTGTTTAAGATCCTTTCCTTGTTCAAGTTCTGTGAATTGCCATGTTTTAAGACTCTTGCTCATTCAGTTTCTGAATAGTTATATCTTGTTCAATTTCTGAATAGGAACTCAAAGCACTAATCCTTTTCCACTTCCTCCATGGGAAGCTGAGGCAGAAGAAAGCCAAATAGTAGGTAGCCCTCATGCTCAACCGATGCTAAATAATCCCATGCCAGGTAGTTCACAAGCTTTAGCAATGCACAATAATCAGATGATGCCTGGCGGTTCGCATGCTGTATCACCGCAAAATAATCAGCTGGTTGCAGCGAACGCTCAGCAAACATACCTCCATGGTATGTATGCACATCCGGGCACAGCTGGACAGCCTGCTATAATGAGCAATCAGGCTATGCAAGGCAATCAGATGGAAGGCATGTATCCTCAACAGTTCCAAGGTGGGCAACCAGGGAGTTTATTTCCTCAACAAATGCCATCTGGGCACATGGCTTATATGTATTCGCAACAAATGTATGCCAACCAAATGGCCAGTTATGGTTATGGTAATGCTCAACAACAAAATACTCAGTTCCTTAACCAAGGAATGTCTGGGCTCTCTGTGAGGGACAATGGTGTCCTCAACAATTCTTCCTATCCAGTTTCCGCTCCTTCATATGTGCCATCTGGAAAGCCTTCAAAGCCGCAAGACAAATTGTTTGGGGACCTAGTTGACCTTTCAAAATTCAAACCAGCCAATGCTGCTCCCAGCAGAGCTGGTAGCACGTGACAGTAACTGGTTTTGCACCCTTTTTTTTTTTTTTTTTAATAATTAGAATTTCTATTTGGTTCTTAAGCTTCTGTTGTCTCTTCATTTTATATTTACACATTCTCCTTTGAGTCCATATGCATTTAATGGTTCTTCACGAGATGATGAGAGTTGTGTACATTTCCTATAGAGTGAAGAACTAGCTCTGGAAGAAAGAAAGTCAAGGAACCTCGCTCTAGCTTGAATATGTATAGGATGTATTCAATTATTCATTTTAATGCAGTTTCGGGTGATATAATTTTGTGCTGTTATATCTTTCTTTTTTTTCAAGTGTTCTGTTATATTTAGTTATCCTGTTGTATGTTTCTTTGGAAATTTTTTGTATGAGCTTGGTGAGACGGTGTAAACAGAAGAGACTTCTATGTCTCAATAGTGAAATCTTGCTTGAATGTGGACTCGCATTACATAATCGTACTTAGAGGTGTGCATATTAATCCGTATACTCATCATATTAGCATCTGGACAATGTACTAAACTGATTTTTGAACCTGAATTTAAAAGAAAATCTAGCTTTTTGCTGCATTATATTCTCTTGGCTGTTCTTTCTACTTGATTCCTTTGATCTCTCTTGAAAATCTTGTTCTTTGTGATGTTTTACTAGTTGTTTGACTTGGTTCATTTCTTATTAAGTCTGAACTTGTACAGGAGATTTATTGGTGTCATTTTTCTTGTCCAAAATTTGTCTTGGCCCACATATGTCTGTGATGACCTTTTGCCGGGTTTATGTGTTGTAAATGAGAAGTCCTACCAACTAGGATTCTTGTGGAGTGGTCTCGAGTTCGATTTATGGGTATGGAGTCGCCTTTGTTACGGAGAGCTTTATCGCTCAATGTGGGACTTAAGGGAGAAATTTAAAAATAGTCAGATTTACAAGTGTTAATTGAAAAATAGCCACAATTTCAAAAATAATCGAAATTTAGCCACTTTTCATGTAAAGATAAATCTGAACGAAAATACTGATCAAAATCCGAAAAATATTCCAGCATAATATATTGGAGTTCCAGTATAATATATCGGTCCAGCATAATATGCTGGAAGTTCATACACAGGTGCTCTAATCTCCAGTATATTATGCTGGAACTTTCCGCGTGTTGGAGTTTCAGTATAATATACTGGAAGCTCATACACATGTGCACCAATTTCCAGTATATTGTGCTGGACCGATCCGTGTTGCACCAAAATAGTGATTATTTTTCAATGACTTTGCAAACGCTGGCTATTTTTCAATTACCAATCTGAAAACTGGCTAGTCCGTGCTATTTTTACGGGACTTTCTAGCACGAGTCTAGATTTAATCGTGTCCCAATGATCATGGGGTGAGAAATCAAAAAAGAAATAAGGGAAATCTTATTTGTTTATTCCGTAAAATGACATTGGATGATAAGATAATTAAATGGTGTTTCACTGTTTCTATTACTTTTGATGTTTCTATTTTTCTATACGCTTCGGTGCTTTATATTGATCCTAATTTGATTTTCGATATCTTCATTTTTGGCAATGGTTCTAAAGTAGAAATGGTTAACCATTATCATAAGAACATTCAAATGTCGATAGAAACTTTTGTTTGATTTATCACATAATTTATAAATGAATTATACGTATATTATATATCTGTCGGCTATTTTTAGTTTAAGCAGTTGGTGGTCGATCACTTAGGTTAATTATTCATTTATTATTTTGTACTACTTCCAATAGCTCTCCGTTATAAACTATTGGGACTTGGGAGCGTCCTGCTACTCTTTAGAACTTGTTTTTCCGATGCCACGTATTAGCCAATTTCTTTTTCTTCTTTTCAATTTAGTCAATTAATTGATGACCAAAATTGAAAATAAATTTTTTGTAACTATAACGTAGTGTCAAAGTTGCCATTGACGAAGGAGATAAATCACCAATTAGCAAAAGGAGGGAAAAAACAAAAATAAAAATGCACTAATTTTAGAAAATAAAACTAATCAAAACTGTTTAAAAGGGAAATGATATATTCCTTGACATGCAATTCAAATGACCTTTTAGCTTTTTTCCTCATAATCCATTAGATCAATTGGATATTTTAGGTTTCCTGGAATAGTGGAAATTTTTAGGAGACAATGAGGAATTATATAATGTGGCCTTGTTTTGCCAAGGAAGGAATAGTAATTACAACTAGGAATTTATCTACTACTGTTTGTAATAGCCTAGCAACTCTTGGCAATATTATTGCATGTTACTGGTAATGTTATTGCCATCACTATGCATGGCACAACCAGCGCCCCTACGATCTACCTGTAATCAGAGGCGGAACTAAAATTTCAAGCTTATGGATTCAGGATTCTAATCGTTTGCTGTTATTGGGTTCTAAATTAATAATTTGTACATATTCAATGAAATTTTTAAGACAAATACAGGGTTCGAACCAAAGCTACTAGATTCGGCCGAACCCGCTCCCAATTAGAGCATAGGTTAACCACCAGCTACTTTACTGCTTTGACCCATTTTTAGCTAGTAGTTAAGATTTTGTTAGTCCTTTATTTTCTCAAATAAATCTCCTTATTCAAGGAGTTTGTTCAGCAAGTAGTTGAGTCCTCCTCTTCTAGAGGAGTTAGTTTAGGGAATTAGTTTTTTCACTCTTGTATTTAAAGGTTGCTTTGATTCAATAAAGTAATTAGCTTTTTGTGTTTCTCTTGTTCTTATATGGTATCAGAGCTTCAACAAACTCTAATAAGTAAGATCCTACCTTTTTTCTCTCCCACCCACCCTCAACAAATGGCCAACACGACTGGAGTTGTTAATGCTGATAACAATAGTGGTGTGATGGTCGTCCAATTTAATCATGCGTCACAATTGCCAATAAAATTACAAGGCAGCCACAACTTTGTAACTTGGAAGGCGCAATTTTCCATGCTTATGCACGGTCATGATCTTTATGGTCATCTAGATGGGTTTACCCCTGCTCCATCTTGCACTATCACAACTGGCACAGTCCTTAGTGCCAATCCTGCATTTGCTTTTTGGTTTCGTCAAGACCAACTCATTCAAAATGCATTTATGGCATCCGTTGATCCAACATTTGCCACTACTGTTGCAGCTGTTGATTCAGCACAAAAAGCCTGGGATGCATTGCATACTGCATATGCTAACAAGTCCCAAACCAGAATTTTCAGTCTTCGCGATCGACTTGCGCGACTCACAAAAGACTCCCAACCAATCACTGAATATTTGCAAAATATTCGATCTATGGCTGACGAACTCTCTACTGCTGGTGCCCCTGTCACAAACTCTGAACTCATTGTTAAGATCCTGAGTGGTCTTAGACTAGAGTTTCGTGAGATTTCTGTTGCAATTCGTGCTCGTGACTCCACTATTACGTATGAAGAACTCTATGAGAAGCTTCTTGATCATGAACTTTTCCTTAGACATGAAGAGTAAAGAAAGCTCCTAGCCAGATTACTGATGCTGCTGCTACATTTAACAAATCTAAAAACTCGAACAATCGCAACAATCGTCGCTCCAACAATAACAATGGCAGCAACCAACAATGGCGATACAACAATTGCTTTAATTCACAAAATCAGGGCGATCTTCGAACACCAACAACTCTTATGATGGTGTTCGCTACCAGTTTTGTGCAACAAACTAGGTCATGTTGCAAGTGTATGCAAATCTAGATCTCACAATCATTTTTTAGGCCAAGGCCAACTATGTTTTGGGAATGCACGCATCAACAAATCCCTGGATTCTCGACTCTGGAGCATCTCATCACATAACTGATAATCCTCACAACTTGCAGGAATACAATGGCATGGAACAGATCTCCATGGGTGATGGTAACAAAATAACAATAACTCACACTGGTTTAACTCAATTACATGCATCAAAAAATGCTTTTAAACTTTCTAACACTCTTTGTGCTCCTAACATTAAACGCAACTTACTCTCCGTTTCTAAATTTTGTCAAGATAACCTAACCTCTATTGAATTCTTTCTGTTTCACTTTTCTGTGAAGGACCTGGAAATGCGAAATCCGTTGGTGTACGGTCGTAGGAGTAGAGACGGTCTCTATGAGTGGCTAACCTCACCTTCCATATCTTCTCCTAAAGCACATTTGGCCTCCACTAACACATCCATCTTCACCTGGCATTGTCGATTGGGTCATCCGCATGCAAGAGTTTTAAGTTTTGTTTGAATAAATTCTCGCTACCTTACTCGAGAGACAAATTTTTAGTTTGTAATTCTTGTTCATCGAATAAGGGTCATCGACATCCTTTTCAGAATCTTACTTTATCAAGTTCCAAACCGTTTCAAACAATATTTAGTAATTTATGGGGTCCTTCTCCGGTTTTATCGATTGACAAAAAAATATACTACTGCATTTTTGTTGATCAATACACCAAATATACTTGGCTATATACATTAAAAAGTAAAAGTGAGGTTAAAGATCTTTTCAAAAATTATCAAGCATTAATGGAACGATGTTTCAATATAAAAATTCTTTCTATCTATATAGATGGTGGTGGCGAATATAAAAGTCTTGATCCATACCTACGTTCTCAGGGTATTGAACATCTTTTATCTCCCCCATACACCCCCCAAAGAGTCGCTCTTTCCGAAAGACGTCAAAGACATATTATTGAAACGACAAGAATTTTACTTCATGAAGCTTCGCTTCCACCGACTCTTTGGTATTTTGCTTGTCAACATGCGGTTTATCTTATAAATCACGTGCCAAGCTCGCTTTTACAAAATAAATCACCTTTTCAAATATTGTTTGGTAACGATCCAGATTATAATTTTTTAAAAATTTTCGGGTATCTCTGTTATCCCTGGCTCAAACCCTATTCAAAAAATAAATTAGATCCACGGTCAACACCTTGTGTTTATTTAGGTTATTCTTTAAATTATTATTGTCATCAATGTTTTGATCCGAAATCTTCCAAAATATATTATCTCGAGATGTAAAATTTTTTGAAAATAATTTTCCTTTTCAAATGTCTTTTCAAATATTTTCTTAAATTTTAAAACTCTTGCGTGGGAAAACCTAACTGAAACCAACCCAACAAAATCTCCTATTTTTTTTTCCTCCCATAGTTAGTGAATTACCCAACCCTATACTTATCCCAAATATAGAAACCAGCGCTCACAAAGACACCGTATACTCTGCCTGTGCTCCAACAGAATCTGCAACTACATGTACGTCTTCTACTTCTCCTCCTACAAATTATGTTCTTCCTCCCGATCTTAATGATACCCAATCTTATCCCCCATTACCATCCCC